GACTTGGGTTCAGTTTCCAGCACCCACAGGGTGGCTCACAACCTCCTGTAACTTCAGGGCTTTGATGCCCTCTTCTGGCCTCCAAGGACATCATACATACACGGTATGATGTACATATTCACATACATATATGCAGCAAAACACTCATATGCATAAAATAAGAAGAAATTTTTAAAGAAATTTAGAAAGCTGGAGATAAGGGAGAAAAGCCCAAATTTCCAAGCATGTACGTTTAAAGATGGTGGTTGACCTTTCAAGGGCAAGCAAGTGGTGTGTGTGGCTCAATATACTGTTCAACAGGGATGAACCTCTCTTCTCTTCAGCCCTTGGATCGGAGAGATTGTGCCTGCTCCTCTCCCACTTCCATGAACTTGGAGCATTAATTCTGATCAAACACGCAGTCCCAGAAGTGAGGCCATAGAAACAAGTACCTACCGCTTTCCTGGGAAACTTCCCCTCTGTCCAACAGTGTGCACTCTTAACGTCCTTTCTGTGCTTTAAGAAGCACAGTTCTTAAACTGTGATTTAAGAAGTCACAGTTTGGAGTTTTACATGACCACTGGTTTTTCTAGTTTGGGGAGAAAGTAGAAAGTTTGGTGGCCAACTTGGTATGACGGCACAGGCACATAACTTAATTCTGGACTCAGTTTCGGGACGCATCTATAGAGCTACTAAAACACTTGGCACCTCTTCCTCCATGATAGAGAAGTAGTAGTACCATTCCTGTCTCCCATTTTCCTCTCTTGCTTGGATAGCATCTTGAGTTCTGAGCTGGAGGTGAGGCCAGTTTTAGTCTAGAGGCCGGAGGTGTAGGGGCTCACGTCTCTTTCTTCACGTCAGAAAATTTTGGAAAGTGGATGACCTTCTCAAAATAAGAACATAGAGAAAGCCTTGCAATCTCTCCCCTAGAGATTTCTAACACCCACTGGCCGCTATTTATTTGTCTAACTAAAGCTACCACCCTGAAATGTCTCTAGAACTCAGCACAGGGTTTGTGTGGAGATTGTAGATGTGTCCAGTGTGTGGCCCACAGGACACATGTGCCCCAGGATAGCTATGAATGTGGCTCAATGCAAACAACCACAATATGTATAGAGAGAGGACCTAGTGAAGACCCGTGCAGGCTCTGTGGTTGCTAATCAGTCTCTTTGAGCCCCTGTGAGCCCTGCAGTTGATTCTGTGGGACCGTGTTCTCCTGGTGTCATCGACCCCTCTGGCTCCCACAATCCTTCCCCTCTTCTGTGAGGTTCCTCCAGCAACTCAAGAATGGACCTTGTAGACAACAATATCATGTTAACAATGTCAAAGACTGGAGCTCCCTACTGTAGGCGAAGTCAGACACAGGATAGACTGAAGACTAGTATCTGCAGTGTTGTGGAAATGTGAACCACACAGGCCGCCCCAGCCTCGCCCAGGCAGATGCTCCAGGGCAGCTGCCAGCTGAGTTGCAGACCACGGAATGTGCTGACCTTCCTTCCTCGGGAAGATGGCACCATGAGGAATGTTATTATTAGCAGGAGAGCATTTGCGCTGATCTGTCAACACTCCCTCATTCAGACTAAGATTGGGCACATTCAGGATGGTTTGACCACGGACAATACCCCCTCGTTCAGGGTCTTTATAGAACAATGACAAACCCACAGTGTCACACAGCTGACACATTTGTGAAATCTCTTCTTTTGGGGATGGTCACTCCATGCTTGCCCAGTTTGCCTCTTGGCTCTCTGGCAATAGTTTCCTTTTCTGGTTCTTTCCTCCACTGGTTTTATTTTCAAGCCAGGGTCTCGTGTTTTCTAGTGTGGCCACAAACTCACTGTCCTCTTGCTCTAGGCTCCCCGGTGTTTGGATTTAAAGGCAAGTATCCCATTCCCAGATATCCTGTCTTTAAATAGACGATTCCTCAAAACTTAGAACTAGATTAAAAAAAAAAAAATCCCTTCTCCTTTTTTCCCTTCTTTCTTCTCTTGTTTTCCTTTTACTTTTATTGATTCTCATAGTTTTAATTGCCACCTAGTTTGCAAAATCAATTTTAAGTTTTTGTTTTTGTTTTTCTTTTTAGGCAATGTGTCTGTGTAGCCTTGGCTTGCCTGGAGCTCAGAGAGATCCTCCTGCCACTGGGTTCCGAGTGCTGGGATTAAAGGCGTGCCACTATACCTGGCCTTGTTTCTACTTCAAGTCCATACTTGTCTCCTGAACTCTCAGCGATGTGTTCCACAACCTGATCCAACCCAACTGCTCAGAACAGAGCGGGTCCCCTTCTCCAGGGTCGCCACACCTTCTTCCTAGGTGGTCCTCGTCTCAGTAGTTTCACCGCACTCTGCCTAATTCCTTCACTCAGTCACCCACTCTCCCACAATGTAGAATTCAGATGGGTCAGTTCCTGTCACTTCCTTATTTATTGTTTTCTCAGGTTTCCACCTGAGCCTAATTCTCCTGTCTCTCTTCCATTGGCTGCACCAGCCTCAGAACCAGTCCTGGCAAAAATTCTTGCATCTCCTCATACTCGTAGCAAATCCTTTCCAGGCCTCTCTTCCTTCCCCGCTTCCTGCTGACGTACGTTTTCATTTGTGTATTCTTGTTTTAAAAGATCTTGTCATCTCTTTGGAAGTAGTTACAGGTTTGTATGAAATGACAGTGATCCCATGTTGTGCCTTTCCCCCAGGGGCGAGCATCTTAGATACCCACATACAATAGCAAAGCTACTGCAACCCTAGACCCTTTGTGGGTTTTGTTGCTTCATAGGCTTGTGTACACAGCCATATCTGTGACTGTTTGACGTGTGCCTCTGTGTAGTTCTATGACTTCTTATCATATATGTAACCCCCAAGATCCAAAGCTGTGTCTCCAGCCTCAGGATCCCCTACACCTAAGAATGCTTCTTAAAAAACACAGTCGTCCGCCTTTGGTTTGAAAGCCTTCAATGGCTTTATAGGCCCAAATGCTTAAATAAGGGCTGTAAGTGCCTATTTAGTCTGGCTTCATTGTCTCCCGGGTGGCCTCTTGCCCCGTCATTTTGCAAAAAAGCCTACGCTCATGTTCACTGGTCTTTCTCTTCCTTCTGGTTTGCAAAGCTCCTGGCTGCTCAGAGCCTGCACACGCAGGTCCCTTTACCTGGCATCCCCTCTCCTTCCCACCCAGTTAACTTTTGATCTGCCCAGTAATGACTTAAGCCTCTTTCCCTGGAGGGTTTCCTTGACCGCTCTGGCTAAAAGCTCTCATTGGTTTTCATCGCCAGCTCTGCCTTTGCTTTATGGTGTTCGTTACATAATAGTGATTAAATAGTTGTGCAGGGGGTCTCAGTAATTTGAGGTCTCTTTGGAGGGCTTAGGGTGTCTTGCTCATGGCGTATCTTTTCTGTCTAGCCTAACAGCCAGCTTAGCAGCTGCTAGTGAAACAGTTGCTGAGTTGATGAGCCCTTCTTAGTGGAAACTGGCTTTTGACAGCTGGGCTATGTGCGGCCCAAGACCAGGGAACTGGACAAAACCACCTTGCCTAGGTGGGTGTACGTCCCATGATTTTGGCTCCATCCTTTCCAATAATGTCCTGTTAGAGAACCTGGGCACCTGTAGCCCACACTGCTGAATCCACAGCTGAAAATGTCCCCACTATTCCCCTTCTGTTTCCACTCTAAGAAGTTAGTGTAGGAAACAGCTTGGCTAGTATTCTCCCCAGATCACACTTTGGGAGTTTTCTGGAGCCCCAGCAGAATATTCGTGTAGGGTTTTGATTTAAGGCTTCTTTCTGGCCTCGTCTCTTCCCCCTGTCATCCCACCAGGTTATTTATTCCTACGCTAACACTCGCAGAGACTCAGAGTGGTTTATTTCGGGGGAGCCCCAAACCTGGTGGGTCTTGATGCTGACGGATCAGCTAGTATTTTACCCAAATAAGCAGGGTCCAATGGGCTCTCTGAAGATTCCAGAGGGAAACATGGGGTTCCTGCTGGGATGTGGCTCTGCTGGGGGCTAGGGACAGCACTTGGAAGTCTGTCTGTGAGCACACTTGGTGAGTGATGGTAACTCTAATAGATGCACCCTGTTTATAGTATCCTTTAAAGAATAAAATCCCTCGCAGCAAAGGGGCAAACGCTCTGTGCAGTAGGAGCTCTGGAGAAGGATGGGGCCTGGGCTGGGCCAAGCTGCTGGTTCCTTCCAGCAGAGGCAGCAGCGGGATTTGCTCATCTAGGTCACAGCACTGGCAAACCTAGCAAATTGTAGCTCCCAGTCTTCTGTTCACTCTTGGCCTTGCTCTGTAGACCCAATGGGGGCTCATGGAGTCCTGCTTGGCAGGTCAAGCTTCAGGGATTTCTTCAGGGCTGTGGGATCTATGGTCACAGCTTAAAAGTCCCTCTCCCGACCAGGCTATAGGTTTAGCTAACATGAAACTCGTAGGATAGGCCTGGTCCTTTGCTGGGCTTGTCACTCCCTGGCCTTACCTGCCAGACCCCTTTCTTCTTATGTTCCTGAGACTGCTAAGCATTTGGGTTTTCATTCATCTCCACTGTGGGCCTGGAGGGAACCACAAAGATATCATCCATCACCCCTAAGCTCTTTCCCTGAAAACCTTATGAGATTCCTGACCCCCTCACGCAGTGTCAATAGGAGGTCCCAGCTCTAAGTAGCTCTGAAGAGTTGTCCTGTCCCAGCTTCATCTGGGCTTGGGGTGATGCTGATGTCCCCCACTGGGCTGCCTTGGGCTGTTTAGTCCTCTCTGGTCACAGCTTTCTACTCTACTTGTTACACTTACGGGGCAAATGGCTCTTAGGGTAAGAGGAACTGGATGGTAATCAGTCCGAAGGCGAATGCCCACTTCCCCTGGCGTGACTGGAGGCGGTGGTGTAAGGCCTGTGGATAGAACCCCATCCAGACTCTTGGTCTGTTTCCCAGCCTGTGCTTCCTCTGACTTCCTCCATGCTCCCTCCGAGATGTGTCTTGAATTAGTAGCGCTGGGGGTACAGGTCACACTCTTTTGTCTTAATACTGTTGCCTCTGGCTTCTTCCAGGTCACCCAACTTGCCTGCAGTTCACTCTGAATATGACCGAGGCAGTCAAGACCTACAAGTGGCAGTGCATAGAATGCAAATCCTGCATCCTGTGCGGGACTTCGGAGAACGATGTGAGTTTGGGCGATTCTGTGGCAAGAAGAGGCAGAAGGGGCTGGGAGCCCTCTGAGAGGTGGGAAGGAGACAACTCCGGGCCCTGGGTTCCTGGGGAAAATGGCCTTCTTTCTAGCCTCTACAACCTTTGGGACCCTTGTTCTTTCGCCTTGGGTCCCTCATGCCTTTGGGAAAAGATGCCAGAGGGACCAGCAGGGGATGTCTTCTTGGTCATTGTCCTTAGAAGCCTGGGCGCTTGTTCTCCAGAGTTCAGTGACTATGGCAGTGGCCAGGGCTTCAGGTGGGGTGCATGTGGCTGTTTTCCACCACAGTCTAGTGCATGATCTCATCTGGATGATGTAGTAAACACAAGAAGTGTAGAACACCCAACAGCTTTTTTTGTTGTTGTTGTTGTTATGGGCCATCTCAAACATGTACAAAGGCTGAGAGAATAATGATCTCATATACTCTGTCCCAGCTTCAGCACTGACCATTGTGTCCAATCTTATTTCATAAGTACTATTATCTTATCCTTTATGTATGTGTTGTATGTACCTGTTATGTAGGTGTGTGTACATGTGTTTGTACATGTGGAGTCTGGAGTTCCACATCGGCTGTCTTCCTCCATCACTCCCCATCTTAAATTTTAAGACTGATAACTCGCTGATCCAAAAACTCATCAGTTTGGCTACCTTGGGTGGCCAATGGACCCTTTTTATTTCCAGACATTGCTCCCCTACCCAAAGCTGGGGTATCACTTTTACACAGCGCTGGGGTCCTAGAATCAGGTTTTCATGCTTGTGCAGCAGACATATTATCAACAGAGCCTCTTCCTAGCCCCTACTTTTCGATCCTAGTCATCATATAATTTCACTGGTAAATATTTCATCTGTACCTTTAAAAGGACAAATAGCTACCTTTTAAGTAAAAATAACTAACATTTTCCTATAGCTTCAAGTAATGAACATTTCTATGCACTCAGCTGTCCCTTAAATGCATTGGCTACAGTTGAGATCCAAATGAGGTTTGTGCATTGCAACTAGTTAATGCACCTAAAGTTTCTTTTACTATCTGCAAATAAGACATAGATGTTCCCCCTACCTTATGAATCAGCTGTTTAACAGAGCTCCCAGGCTTTCACTTGCCTGAACACATCGTCATGGGGTTGACAGTCCCTCTGCCTTGTGCATTTCGAGGCTTGATCCAGAGTCTCTCTGTCTCTTTCTTTACCATCTTCCTCAGTTCTCTGTGTCTGTCTGCCTCTTTTCTGGAAGACTACCTAACAGACATTGGTACGCACTTTTGATGGAGTCTGTTCTGCTGTCTTTGGTGTCTCTTTTTGTGATGGCACCTCTAGTGATGGCATTCAGTAAGATCATTTCATTAGAGGCCTCAAACTAGTCATTTTCTTATTTGAATTTGAATAGTTTTGTTTATTAACTGGGGTAATTCCATAGTAAGACACTTACCCATGCTACCTTTTGGTACCATATACAAAAGGCAGCATATGTGCTTGATTTTTTTCCCTTATCAGTATGTAAGATAACATGATAGGTAAGCTTTCTATTCATGGGCCTGGGGAGATGGCTCCATGGGTACGAGCAGGGACTGCTATTTCAGAGAACTCGAGTTCAGTTCCCAGAACCCACGACAGATGACTCACCACTGCCTACAAGACCAACTCCATGGTAACACGCTCTTCTGGCCTATGGGAGACCTCCATTGACAAACACACACCTGGTCCCAGATGCACATACATATGCATAATTAAAAATAAAACAAATCTTAACAAAATATCATCTATTCATGAAAATAAAAACACTCAAGAAAACATGAACTATAAGATTGCTTCTAAACACAAGAAAACATTTGTATTTTCTAATTGAGCCCATATCATGTTTAATGAGAAAATAGTTGATAAATTTCATTTTTTTTAATTTTATTTTTCCATTCAATTATTTACCCTTCCTTCCCTCCTCCCAATCCCCTCCCACTCCCCATACCCCCTCCTCCCTCTCACCCTGCTTGAGAGAGGGCAGGGAACCCTACCCTGTGAGAAGTCCAAGGCCAGTTGATATATTTCCACCAACAATAGGAACTTGACGTGGGAAGGATGCTCCAAGTGCTGCTAGCATTCAGGATTTTTGTAGAGATGCTAGTTAGCACCATTTGACAAGAGAAATAGACTAGAGGCACAAGGATAAGGGCAGTACCGGCTGAGCCTTGTTGATCCACAGAGGCCTCCAGAATCCAGAGCTTTATGAATACCACTATGATGCCACCGCTGGAAAATTCTACTGCACCAAAACTTTATCTCATGCATAAAATCATTAAAAAGCATCGCATAAGACCTCCTTTAGGATATGTGTATGAAGCCTATATGAAAGACATGGATTTTTTTCCTTCTTCCTTGGATTTCAACTCAAAGATACCTCATTATATACACACAAATTGGAGACACTTCTAGTTTCAAGCACTTCGAGTACGGGATACTTAGCCTGTATTATGACACTATTTTCATAAGATGTGACAGTATGTCTTGGAAACCATAGAGAGTCAATGATAGGGCTAACTTAAATATGCAAAGTGAAAGCAAGGAGCTAGAGATTGGCTCAGTGGTTAAACGTTTACACTGCCCTCGCAGAGGATCTGAGTTCTGTTCTGAGCATCTATTCATGGGGACCTTGCGGCTGTCTTTGGACTCCAGCTCTAAAGGATCAGACACCTCTGGCCTCTACCAATAGCTGCACTCATGTGTACATACCCACATGTAGACAGAAAGACACATAATTAAAAATAAATCTTACAAAAGTAAAAACTAACTAATTAGTAAACATTGCTATACTTATAGTACACCAAGGAGCCATATTTGGAAATAAGCTTAGCAGAAGGTATGCAAAGTCTATATGAACACAAACATTTTAATGCATGTGAAAACATAATGATGGAACGTTGTCCTCTGATATTGGAGAAAAAGACTTAGCACTGCAGAGACATCAGTTCAGCCCATGTTAATTTGCAAATGGACACCAGGAGCAATAACAGCATCAACAAACCTCCTTTGTGGAGTTAGACAGGCTGATGCTTATGTTTCTGCAGAAGAAGTGGGTTTGGATAACAGAGGAAGAACTGGGGTTGTATCTTTGTTGTAGAGCACTTTCTAGTTTGCCCAAATCCCTGGGTTCAATCCTCAGCACAGTAGAAACCAGGCAGAGTAGTGTATGCCTGTGATCCCAACATTTGGGGGGGGGGCAGGTAGAAGCAGGAGGATCAGACATTCAAGATCATCCCTGCCTACTTACTGAGCTTTGGGCCAACTTGGGCTACATAAAACCCAGACTCGAAAAAGAAAATGGCTAAGGAAATTCTGATAAACTGTGCTGGAACTAGTAAACATGAACTCTTTCGGGGAGCCCCCAGAGTGGAATGGTGTGGTAGTTATGTGTGAGCGGACAAAGAGACCAGCTGGGAGAGAATAGAAAGCCTATGAATAGTCCCACCCACATCGGGATAGAGTATAGGATGAAGGTAGCATCTAAAATTACTGTGTCTAAGATAGACTTTTTAATGAATGACGCTGGTACAATAGGGGAGTCATTTGGAAGAAGACAAAATTAGTTTTGTATCTCCCACCCAGGCATAAGAACATTCTCCAAACAGACTGGGAATTTAAATGTAAAAACCAAGACCAGACCAGCACTAGATCCCTCTTTCACTTGAACTGCAGGAAAGATTTTCCAGTTGAGTCAAAATAGAGAAACAGTAAAATGAAATATTGAAAAATTAGACTATGGAAATTTGTGTAGTCAAAAACCCCGAGTCAGTCAAAGGATGACTGGCAAACTGGGAGAACGCACCTGTAGTGGTGCAGGTGAAGTTCCAGTGAACCCAGGATGTAAAGAACTCTGATAAATGGGAGATATAAAACCAGGAACTTGATTGACAAGGAGAAACAGACATGACTGATGGTTCATAAACAATATAAAGGTGACCTTTAAACATTGAAATAAATACTCAGACACACCCACAATGAAAGAAGCTCAAAGCAAAACCAAGATCTCGTTTCTCACCTATCCGATGGGCAAAATTTTTTCAGCTATAACAATATATGAAACCATAGAAGAATTAGTTCCTACATCTAGTATTAGAGGGAGTGCAACGTGGCATGATCCTTCTGGGGAGGGGAATTTGGTGATCTCTAACACAACTATGGCACACGTAACTTTTGACTGAGTCATCCCATCTGTGGGAGTCTACCCTAAAGGATACATCCTACTACAGAAGTATATGTGTGTTAGATGGTTTATTAATAAAAATATCAGAAATAGCCTCAATGTGCATGCGTAGACACGTGACCAAATAGACACTGGAACAGCTATGCAGCAAAGATGTATAGAGGATGGAGAGGATATCTGTGCATGGATGTGTAATAATTTCCATGATACATGGTCAAAACCCAAGTTGATTTTGCTATCTATTGATGGTAGGCTGTGTTTATTGGAAGGAAAGGGCTATCTAAGGAGCTACACACACGTCTGTGTACTTATATAAAAGAATAAACAAGGAGGTAATGGGAATGGATGGAAATGGGGAGGAGAGATACAGTGATGTGGGAGTGAGTGGGGATAAGGACGACCAAGATGACCTTGGGAATATTCGGAAAGCTTGAATCAAGAGTAAGTTTCAGAGACAGATACATACTTCATGCTAACCAGGAGGTTAGCAATGCTAGCAGGGAGCAAGCCGAAAGCAATGAATCTATCTAGCCAACAAGCAGATAGCATAACCAGACTGAGGAGTTGGGAGAAGAACCAGCCTAAGTGGTTTTGGAAAATGGTGTTTTGACTGTGTGCTGCAAGACTAAAGACAGACACAGCTGCACCGTAAATGCTGTGCCCCAGCTAAGAAATTTATTTTTGTGGGTATATGGATTAGCAATTCTGAAAGCGACTTTATATGTCTAAATGAATAGCTGAATATTGTGACGGAGAGTCATAGTTCTACACGCCAGAGCAAGAATAACCGTAAAAGAGGAGGGGAGGAGCCTGAATCCTGTGGTTTGATATTGGAGTGTGTGTGCGTGTGTGTGTGTGTGTGTGTGTGTGTGTGTGTGTGTGTGCGCGCGCATGTATAAACTCATGGTCAGGGAGCATATATGGTCATATAAACATATATGAATGATATATATATATATATGTATTTGTTTATTTATTTCTGAGATCTGTTGGCAAAGAAGACTATGTTAGTCAGCTTCAGTAAAGTGCCAATTAATCTATAAAGAGGAAGGAATTATTTAACTCATAACTTTGGAGGTTATGAAAGTTTCAGTCCAAGATCAAGTGGCCCAGTTACTTTGGTGAAGATACTTAACAAGGAAAGCATGTAATAATAAAATGCTCGTATAACAGAAAGAGAGAGAGAGAGAGAGAGAGAGAGAGAGAGAGAGAGAGAGAGAGAGAAAGATCAGGGTCCCACAGTCTCTTTCAAAGTATATCTTCCCACCTCCTAGAAGTCTCGAGCACTTCCCCAATACCATTGCCCTGGGTACCAACCTTATGTAAACCTTAGGGAACATTACTCTTCTTCAAACCTAGCAAGGACCTAGAAGCAGTGAGGACACCCAAAACCCAGAGATTGGTTCTACACAGTATTCCCTAGTAAAAAGAGCCTAAGATTCTTATAGAAATGACTAGTGCCAGGGATGGGTTACCATCTACACAGGACATGCCTGAAATATCTTGTGATGTCAGAAAGTAGGGATATGCTAAAAAACCAAGTGACAGTATGTGTCTAAAGGACACAAGAACCAACAACCTGAAAGAATGTTTAATGGCCAACTCTAGGAACAACGGAGTAAGAGAATAATGATACTGTTGGCTTGTAACATAAAGAATAACACCAATATCCCTTCTGATATATGGAGTTGAAAGAATACATGGAGGAAGGAGGCAAAGAAGGGAGGAAGGAAAGAAGGAAGGAAGTAGACAAAGGATGGAGGTAATGGAAGATAAATCGGGGAACTGTCACAGACTGAGGGCCACAAAGGAAACCTAGGGTGATAGCTCTCCTTGGTCGAGTCCTGCCTAGCAGACTTGAGCTCTGTCTCTGGTTCTGTGTAAACTGGTGTAGGAGCTCACACCTGTGGTCCTAGCACTTGGACATGGAGGAGGACCGGGAGTCCAAGGTTGTCCTCGGCTACATAGTGATTGTGAGGCCAGCCTGGGCTACATGACGCCCTGCCTCCCCAAATACAAACAAAGAAGGCCTGGGAGAAGGCTCAGTGGGTAAAAGCTCTTGCCTCCAAGGCAGAGGACTGGACTTTGATCCACGGGACCCATGGTAGAAAGAGCAAACTGACTCCTTCAAGTTGTTCTCTGACTTCCATGAGGGTGCAATAGTATGTACCCCAATTCCCGGCCAATAAATAAGAAAAGAAAAAATAAACAAAAACCCTGAAAATCTGATCCCCCCCCAAATGCTATTAGGGGACAAAACCAGGAAAATGGAGGCATTAATTTTACCACACACTGTAAGATGTTACTGTTTGGGAGAGCAGGAGAGAGAATAGAGAAATTATCATTTCTGCAACTTTTCTCTCAGTCTAAAATGCTATCAGAATAAACAAAAAATGTTGTTGTTTCAAACCATTTTCTTTTCTTCTTCTTTTCCTTTCTTTTCTTTTTTCTGTTTTTCTTTTTTCTTTTTTTTTGGTTTTTTGAGACAGTGTTTATCTGTATAACCCTGGCTGGCCTGGAACTTGTAATGAAGACCAGGCTGGCCTTGAACTCATAGAGATCCTATGCTGGCCTCTGCTTCCCAAGTGCTGAGATTAAAGGCGTGTGCCACCCCCCACCTCACCCCCCACAGCTGCAGAACATTTTCAGTGGCAGATCTAGAACATATTTTTGTTATTTAGAAGGCAAAATACACTATTTATTTATTCAAATAATTATAGATTGTGTTTAGAACTAATTATGTGATCTTGCTGTTAATTCATTAATCTCATGTCTACTTTCCTTCTGCACGCAAAATGTTTTGCTACTCAATGATATCATCACAATCACAATTTGGTAAACATGCAACTAATATAGATAGTTAACCAGTTCCAATATTATCATCAATAATACAATTGCTTAAACATATGCACACACGTTTACATCTAGCTTGGTTGTTAAGATCATGTGCTAGTTGAGTACTCTGGTGGTAGAGGCAGAAGGATCACAAGGTTGAAGCTAGACAAGACTACACAGAAAGACCCTGATTCAAAAGAAAATCCAAATTAAAAAATAAAAAAAGATATGTCACTACCCAAAATGGTTTCTGTTTGTAGTTGTGTCTCTAGCTAGATATACAAGTATATTCACTTATGAGCAATTCACTTTTAAGGATATAGTAAGATTTTAATTTTGGTTTTTGACTATACAAAATAGTTCCACAAACAAATCTAGAAAGAATGATGTATTTAAGAAAACTTAGCTTCTATTTTCTAATTCCAAACTTAACTTCCTCCTTTGCTTACATATGACTTCTTAAAAATTATAAAGTTTGTCCCTGATAAACCTGGAGGGAGGGAATGAAAGGGCAAGAGACATGAGAAATGACAGCAAGACAGGCTTTCTGATCAAGCTGCCAATTTTATTTTTTCTCATGAGCTGTTATATAGCAAACAGGCAGGGGAGAGGCGAGAGTGTTAGAAAAGTCCAGTCTGCTGGAATTCAGGTGTGGAAGGTCTCTGGCTGAGAGAAAGAGATATTAACTAACAAAGGAAATGCTAATTGCTTCTAAAGCCTAGAGCCTGCAGGTCTTGCAGGGAGACAAGATACTAGGTTAATTTCCTAGGTCCAGAACGAGCCCTGCAGAGGTGAATATTTTACTTAATTTGTGAGCTTAAGATGGCTATAAACAAAATACAGGTCTCAAAATACAGGTCTTTGCTTCCGGCAACCGTTTCAGAGGCATCTACTGTCACACACACCGGACTTCCTTTTCTCGGACCTTCACTTGCCATCCAATCACCAGCGAGTTCCAAATCCGTGTCTTGGGCCCAGACCTCTGTCCTGATCTCCAGCCTCCAGGACATCCCTCCCTGGTGACCTTGGATCAATAGTTGAGGCTGTCCTTTCTCTCTCCTACCCCCATGGCCGCTTTCCTGCCCACGTCTCAGTGACTGACTATGCCACAGCCCAGGCAACCACACCAGTCATGATTGTTCCCCATGGCACTGCCGCAGCCTTAATTCAGGCTGTTATCACCCTTCACTTGTGTTAGTGTCTTCTACTTCAAGAACCAACCAATCGCCCTGCCCCGCCGCCCCAGGCTCCAGGCTCAAGCCAGGCAAGAGACTTTTCTTAACGTCTACATTTAAATCCTGAAGGAATTGTGAGATACGGTGGATGCCACCATCCAGTACAACTGTTGCCCATTGCACAGATGGGAAGAGTGGGATTCCAGTCCGTGTCTAATACGGATTAGGTCATTGCCATGGGGTGGGGGTCAGAGAAATCTATAACATCACTGGCCAGGGGAGGCCAGGACAAGGAGTTTCTGTGAGCTTGAGAATGCAGCCATCGGGGAAGACTTCTAAGACAATGAGTTGAGACGATGACTAAGGTGGTGAGGAATCTGTAGAGTTGTGGAGGCCGAAGGAGATTTTCAGGTGTATAAGCCAGGTTTAAAGGGCAGTGGGGACCCCAAATGGTGCCTGGAAATTTTATCTGTGGAAATGAGAGTAGAGGAAGAAGTGGGGGGAGGCCACTGCCCTCAAGTAATTGCATCTCTCTCCTCCTCACTTTACGTCTTTTGTATCTGCCAGGACCAGCTACTCTTCTGTGACGACTGTGACCGTGGTTATCACATGTACTGTTTAAATCCCCCCGTGGCTGAGCCCCCAGAAGGTAAGGACGATGAACTCCACAGTAGCAACAGCAGCAGCTACCACGCCCACCTCTCAATGATCCCTCACTGTGGTGCATGCCTTGTGCTAAGGGATGTTCAGGCTCTGTCTCATTTAACCATCATGGCCCAGTGAGTAGGTAGGACCACTCACAGATGACACATGAGGAAACTGAGGCCTAGGGCAACCAGATGGCATTCCGGCTGACGGGTCAAGGAGATGTTTCTCAGGTGTGTGGCTGCAACAGTGGGGAGGTGTGAGTTTCCAAGGGAGCTGGTCCAGGTGTACCAAGGCTGGCTAAGAGGCACGACAGAGGGGCGGGGCTCTTTACATAGTTCCTCTGTTATCTCTGAGTACCGCCTTTGCGCGCTGAGCAACAGCCTTCACATCTTCATACACCTTCAGAACGGAGACTCTGAATTATGGAAGTCATAGGCAAAGAGGAGTTAGCAGACATTAAAGCCATCACTAGGGACCAAGAGTTAGGAGAACGGCTGCTACTAATGCTATATTGTCTCTTATAGGAAGTTGGAGCTGCCATTTATGCTGGGAGCTGCTCAAAGAGAAAGCCTCAGCCTTTGGCTGCCAGGCCTAGGGCCTCAGGTCACAGAATGTGACATGCCGCCAGAGAGCGGAGGCCTGTTCTATCCAGATGGAGCTTTCCTCCTGCATATCCACACAGACCAACTGTAAGGAAAACGAGTAGTTACGGAAGGACCTGGACGCCGGAACCAGGAGGGCAAGGCCTCGACTCGCTTACCGCCCTGCCTACGCCCTCCAGCCCACATGTGGTATTCAGCTAGTCCTTCCTCATTTCTACCAGAGGGAGCTTGCACTTCTGAAGAACAGTTCAGCCCCAGCCCTGTGGAACCTTCCTCACGTTCGCCCTCACAGTGTATCTCTCTCATGACTTCCCATTTTAGAGGAAGCCATTTTGTGACTGCTCACAATCACTTGTGTACTGATGGTGTTCTTTTCTTTTTTAAGTCTCTTGTGTTTCAAGATCCCTTCACGCAGCCTCTTCACCTTTAGCGTAGGCTTGTCAACCAAAACTCTCACAGAGGAACAAAATGCTGTGGAAAAGTTGTTACTTATTACCCGCTTCGCCAGAAATGTCTGCGTTTGGAGGCCATCTTGAAGACGAAACTTGGAAACCTCTTGGTAAAGATGTAGCTTTTGAACCTCGGCAGTGGCCTCCACAGCTGAGATGGTCTTGATCCCCTGCACCACCAATTGAGGAGGGGTCGAGAGGGCCCGAGAGATGGGAGGAAAAACCGGGACCCAAGCATAACCAGTTCATACGTGCTGTTCAACAAGAGAAGCTTTGCTTCGGATCCAGGGGTTCCTTGACCTTCACAGCTGTGGTGTCCTTGAGATGAGACAAACCACAGCCTACAAATACAGGAAAGTGCTGAAGATTCCCAGTGCCTCCCGACTAAGTTGAGCGTCAAGGCCTGGCTCAGTTTCCGCTGGTGGGAGTCGAGCATCAGCCAAGTGGGCAAAGGCTGCCCGTTCAATGGTCCAATGTTGTTTAAGAGAGAGTGTAGCTTTGAGAAACCCTTCAGTGTTAACGCTACGCTGTGAATTCCTTTCCCGGGCAATTTCCTCTTTCCATGTAGTATGTGTTTGCCAGTGACTACTGAGATGTGACTGAGAATTTTAGAATGGAGGCGAGATGACCATTGCTTGACTAGATCATGGAGCATGGTGATTGCTTGTGACCTGGTGGCGGTGATTCAGACCCCTCGTCAGCTCTTGTAGCTTAAGCTCCCCCCCCCCCCCGTGTGAGCTGGACTCCTGTTTGAAATAAGAAAGTTTCTAGAGAAAGAGGTGGAGAGGCCTAGATTCCAAGAACTCTGTGGGTCGGGAGACAGCCTTGTGGGCTGGGGTGGGGTGGGCTGTCTCTGGATCACAGCAACAGCTTGGTAACTGACACATTTCTGGAAAAATCATTTGCCCAAAGGGCAGGTCTCAGTGAGCAGGACCCTCGCGCATGCTCGGCTTCCCTGAAATCAGTCCCATCGCTGTGGTCCAGCAGCTTGTAACAAAGGCCTGGGTTATTTTTAGTCTTCAGCTCCTGAAGAAGCCCCTGGAGACCTGGGCTAGCTGGACCACTCTGCCCAGATGCGGCATCGCCTCTGCCACTCCACAGGACTCGTCCTCCCCCTGGCTAATTGCTCCTGGCACATGGACCCAGGGCAGCCTGGCATGGATCCAAGCAGTGTGCTCCCCTGCCCCCAACTCCTTTGCAGAGTGACCTGTGGCAAGAGAGTGGGGGTCTCCTGCAGGCCCTGTGGCCTCGGAGCTGGTTACATGCATACATAATGATCTCATTTAAAGGGGCCTTGTCCAGACTGCATTTCCGCCTTCCTCACAGGCTCTCTTCCTCCTGCTGGATTCTAAAGGCCCAGGGAAGGGTTGGAGGGGTGGTTCATCTCCACAGAGTAGCACATCCCCTCTTCGGACTCTGCTGGCTCGCCCTCTCTTCCCACAAAACCTAAAGCAGGGTATCCTCAAAGGCTAATTACTTGGTTGAGGATTCATTTTAAATTAATTTTAGGGGAGAAAAAAAGGTCCAAATGTTCTGGAATGCTACACTGGCAAAAGTGAAAGAAAAAAAAAACAAAAACAAGTCTAAAACCCCAAACTGTGGTTCTGAGACTTGACAGGTCCCCTTCTGGAGTGTGCATAAGTCGGTTCTCTACAGAAATGCAGATGGGGGAAGCTTTCTGTTCTATACCCAGTCATGCTTGCTCTGACCATCCAAGCTGAGGGGGAACAGGCCTCCCTAGCCAAGCCAAGGCACCTGTGGGAGCTTGCCCACAGGTTGCATAAGGAAGGCTCCTGGGGTCCTGCAGAATAGTTTCAGTCATTCTGCTTTGGAGGCTTTGGTTTGGTTCCCCATAGAGGAAGTGGGGAAAGCAGATCAACTTGTGAGGTACCCTGTCAGGGTGCAACAGACCAGGTCTCCAGAGCCACCTCCTGTGTTAGAAAAAGAAGGCACTACTAAAGTAAAATTGGGACTCGCTTTCTCCAAGTGCTGGAGTGAGCACATGATCACTGGTTCATGGTTCTAATGTCCCTTCTACCCTAGCAGTGTGTGGCCTTGGACAAATCACTTAGCATCCTGAAATCTCGATTTGTTCATCTGTAAAATGGAACTGCTGACACTTGCCTTTTCTTTTCCACAGTGACACTGGGGAGGGCCCAAAGTATAGTGTTGTATAAACAACCATTACCAGGGCCCCACTTGCCTTGTGGGAACTCCCAAGGCTTTTTGACTCCATCTTCTTGTGAATGCTAGCCAAAGCTAGACACCCTCTTGGAAACTCCCTTTTGATGGAAGAGGCTTCCACATCAAGGGCCAGGTTGCCTGTGGTCAGGGCTCCTAAGCCAGGACTGTGACCATGGAGACCATGGTTGGGCATGGGTGGTAATGGGAGGTGCTCGAGGGCTGGGGACTTGAAGATGAAGATACCATAAATGCATGTGCATGAAGACGGACAGACAGAAGCATACACACACACACACACACACACACACACACACACAGCATCAGCATGAGTAGCCACTTGGAATGGGAATTGATTTCTGTGGAGGGCGCTGTGTTCTTGTTCAAATGCAGCATCACTTTCAAGCTGGTTAATTCTGGTCAAGTGACTTTGCCTCTCTGAGCCTTGCTGCCCACATGCGTGAGGTAGAGAAACATGGCCTGTTTAGAAATCTAGCCGGGGATGTTCGAGTCATGCGGATAAATATCTTGGGGTAGGTCTTGCTAAAAAGAGGGCCTCCTGCCTGTGGTAGCCATTGTCATTTTGTGCAGAGGTCACTAAGAGAAAAGAATGATGCTGTTGAATACCCCTCAAATCCCCGACAGGGTTACTGTGTTCTAATATAGCCTTGGAGCCTCACATGGTGACGGAAGTAGCCCTGCTGGAAAATCAACTCTCATTTTCTTTGCGACTCTTTGGAGACCCTGCATTTGGGCCCTGTAGCAAATACAGGACAGGTAACCCAGTAAGGAAATGGGAATGACGTTCCTGACAGGGAACTGACATTCCAGTCACCTTTCTCAACCCCTCCTGAGGCAGAAGTCAGCAGGTCCCAAGACCTGGCTGCTGTATGGCTTTGCCTCCGGGCCTTATAGGAAGCCCAGGCTAGGTGGAGAGAGCAGTTGCTTCCCGAGGGAAGCTCAGCCCCAGAGGCCGTCCTGTGGATAACT